CCCCCCCCCCCAGGAACCCAAGGTCACTGGGCAGGGTCTGGGGGACCTCGATCGGCTGTCTTTGTGTGTTGTCACTAGGCATGGGGTGGGAGTGAGGGGAGCTGGCCCCATCTTCCCCTCCTAGCGAGGAGCCTGGTGCAGGGCTCTGGGCACCCTTTGCAGAGGGCGACTTTCTCCTTGGCAGTCGCTCTGCCTCTGCATCCCCCGGCCGCCTCCTCCCGCCTCCCTCTGCTCTCCTCCCCTCCTGCCCTGTCCTCCTGGCTCCCTGAGGTTTAAGGAACCGCTGAGCTCAGCCTTTCCTGCAGGCTCCGAGCTGGGGGGTGGGCCCTGAGCGTGGTCTCACCCCCTCAGCCTGCTCATTTCTCTGTGGTGGGGGATGGATCTGAGGACAACTCCCCACAGCACCCAGCTCCCGCTCAATTGTGAGCAGAGGAAGCCCAGGCCCGCGCCAGTGCCAAATCCTTCCTCTGAAAAGCTCCGGCCCTTCATCTGCTCTCCTGCCCGGCTCCCACCGCGCTCGGGCTGCTCCTGCCAAGTGGCAAATAGACCGGGCTCTGTTCTGGGAGATTCCGGGCCTTTCTGAGCAGGGCTGTCAGGCTGCCTCCCTGCAGGCAGGACCTCGGGAAGGGATGGAGGCCTCGGAGGGGTGGGGCTTGGGGGAGATGCCTGAGAGGAGATTCAGGAGGTCCCTGGACCAAAATGAGACTGATGTTTGGTCCACAGAACTTTATTGACAAAGGCAGGGAGCAGACCCGCAGGCCGCAGATAGCCAATTCGAGTTTTTTAAACGTTGCATTGAATTATAATTTATTGTGATTATGGAGTTTTTTCATGGCCCCCTTAAACTGTGCTCTTGAGGTCCTCACCCTAGTCCTGGGTCTGGTCCCCAGCTCCTTGGGTCTGTCGTTTCTTTGGGTCACCCTGGACACTGGCTCCATCCTCTCTGGATAGTGGGTTTTGAAACCCCAAGCTCAGAGCATCACTTAGGAGGTCGCCTGTGGCGGGCGCTGGCCCCACACAAGCGCAGGAGGCACCCATGGACCTTACTTCCCCTTCTCCAGCTACTCCTCGAATCCCGCTCCTGGGACTGGCCTCTCTCCCTCATCCAGATCAGCTGCTATGGGAATTTGACTCACCTGGGCCGTGTCTCTGTCGCCCAGCTGCACCCTTTTCTCCGGATAAAATTGCTCACCTATCTGCACCCTGCAATGCACCCAGTGCATAGCATGGGCCAGTGTGGGGCTGGCTGGCTCTCTCTGACCACATGAGATGGCTGGGCCAACGGAGGGTCCCGGGGTGAATGCCTGACGGACCCCACAACCCCCAGACACTAACATCCCAGGGTGTCCTGGTCCACGTCTCCTCCCAGACTGCTCTCCTGCTCCTGGCAGGCGGGCTCCCTGGTGGCCTGGGGCTGATAGTGATTCGTCTTACTGACCGTCTCTGGTGGGCAGGCCGCAGCCCCGCCCCCTGCTCCCAGGGCCTCCAGGGACCCTGATTCAATTTCCTCCAATCACCAGCATTGCCATCTGCCTGGGGTAATTAAATGGTATTTGAATTGGATCCAGAAATTCCATTGAAAGCAGCCCACGTAGTAGGGAGGGCGTCTGCGGGAGCTGGTGCTAGGTGGTGAAGTCTACCCAGGCCAGACCCCGTTCACCTGGGAGCACCTGGGCTCCGTGGGCAGGAACGGTTTGGTCCCGAGTCTCACAGGCAACCTGAGGGCCAGAGCTCCAGATCCTGCCCGGCGCTTGTGCTCAGTGCCATGGCCCTGCCATTCATCCCCATGGCACCCCCTTTCCCCTCCACACGCTGAGCCCCACCCCTTGGCCACACGGTACAACAGGGTCATTTAAGAGGCCTCAAATGTACGGCCTGGGTTTGAACCCCTCTGCCCCTCCTGTTTGGCTGGCAGGGCCTCTCTTATTTCTTCTCAGGCAAATGGCGGTAGTTGGTGCTCGGACTGTGCCTGGCACATGTAGCATGTGTGTGTTCGCTTTGGCTGCCACTGTCACAGTGGGCGCAGGGGCATTTGCTGGCCCTGACGTCTGACTGGCCGGTCAGGTGTCTGGTCTGATTGGCTAGAATCAGCGACTCCCTTCCCAGCAGACACCAGCGCAGGGGCCACCGAGAAACTGGGTTCTAGATGCAGCTGGTCCAGAACAGCTGGATGGGGTGGGTGAGGGTGGTGACCTCCTCTGGCTTCCATCCTGTCATCATCCGGGAAGGGATGGCCCTGACCTGTGAGGACCTGTTTGTATCTGAGCAAAAACGCTTCTGACGAACCCCAGGCCTCCATCTGTGGGAGAGCTGGGCCTGGAGTATCTGCCACCACCACCAAGCATGCCTAGGTCCTCCCCCTCCCCAGTCCTCACAGCACAGCACAGGGAACAGGCTCAGGTGAGCTCACCCTGGCCTGGGGAGGGGCGGGGCTGGGGCAGCCCAGGGCAGGGGCAGGATGTCGGGGAGCCCTGGCTCTGTGGCCAGGCGCCCCTGGGCCCCGGGTGGGTGCTGGCCGAGACCTCTCACTCTCTTCTTCTCTGGGTAAATGTTGGCTTAGGGAGCTGGAGCCCAACAAGCAGCTCATTGTGAGCGCCCAGCTGGCGGCGAAGAGCTGGCCTGCAAGAGCCCGGGGGCAATAGCGCCCACCCCATCCCCCCTACTTTAGGCATTTGGGAGGTGCTCTCTGCCAATCCCTCTGCACATGCTCACTGACACACATCTGGTTGCCATGGCGACATCGTCATGACAATGGCTGCTTGGAAGAGGGGGGAAAGCAGTGGCTGGATGGAGAGAGCCCTGTCCAGAGCTGATGCCCCCCTCAGCCCTGATGCCACGTTTCTTCCTTTGTCCAGGGAAGCTCCCCACAACCTGGATCTGGGATGTGCGCCCCTCCTGCGGCTGGCCTGGGGTCCCTTCTAGAGGCCCCTGCCTCCTCAGCAAGCTTTGCCTTGACCTGGTCCTGCGGAACTGAGCCCCTGGGAGCCGGTGGGCCTGTCCCTCCTGTCCCGGTCCTGGTCCCTAGCTTTGCTGGGGCTCCCAGTGGAATCAGGAGCATGAGCTCAGATGTCAGCCAGACCCGAGTTTGGCCCTATAACGTTCCATTACTCAACCTGGGGCCAGTCATTTAAACTCTGCGACCTCAGTTTTCTCATCTGTAAAATCAGGCAAATAATAGGTTGATAGTGAGGAATGCCTGGATTCACGTACGAGATACTTTCAACAGATCCGTATAGAGTGCTCGGCAGTGTTAGCAGCTGCGGTTTCCGGTGGTGTCAATGTTATTATTATTGTTGTTGTTGTTGTATTTTTACAAAAGCTGCCTCAGTCCTGGGGGGGCCTAAGCTTCCTTCTTTCTCCTCTAGCTTGTGGGTGCTGGAGGGGGCGGAGGGAATGGAAGCTCAGCTGGGAGACAGAGCCGGGGGCTGACCAGGGCTCTCCTGTTCCCGGCAGGATCCGGCCGCAGCTGTCAAAGGAGAAAATCGAGGGCTGTCACATCTGTACCTCTGTCACCCCGGGGGAGCCCCAGGTGCTGCTGGGGAAAGACAAGGCCTTCACTTATGACTTTGTCTTCGACCTGGACACCTGGCAGGAGCACGTCTATGCCACCTGCGTGCGCAGGCTCATCGAGGGCTGCTTTGAGGGCTACAATGCCACCGTGCTGGCCTACGGGCAGGTAAGCCCACACCCACCGTGGCCACGCCAGCCCCAGGGATGGGCGAGAGCTCCACCTCGAGGCAGCTGAGATGCAGCTGCAGGTGTGAGGACCCCTCAGAAGAAAGGCTGATGCGGCTTCGAGACCAGGGCAGGGTGGGGAGATGGGGGTGCTAACGCCTCCTTCCCTTTTTGCAATGCAGACGGGGGCCGGGAAGACGTACACCATGGGCACTGGCTTCGACACGGCCACGACCGAGGAGGAACAGGGCATCATCCCGAGGGCCATCGCGCACCTCTTTGGGGGCATCGCTGAGCGCAAGCGACAGGCACAGGAGCAGGGCGTGCCCGGGCCAGAGTTCAAAGTCAGCGCTCAGTTCCTGGAGGTACCGTGGCCTCATAGGGTGGCAGGAAGAAGGCTTGGGGACTGCAAGACCACAGAAGCTGGGCTCTCCTCCAGGGAAGTAGAATGAGCCTGGGGAGTCATGGAGGCAGCTGTAGGTGATGAGTTCCCCACTGCTGGAAGTATCCAAGCGAGAGCTGGAAGATTCCTGTGTCAGATGGGTCTTGAGTCAATGGGGCTACAGGGTGTCTTCACGCCCTGACTGATTCTCAGTGTGGACGCTCATTAGCTGTGTGACCTTGGGCAGGTCATTTCAGGGCTCTGCACAGTGGGGTGACAACACATTTCCTTAGGGGCTTTAAGAGGCTGGCATGTGGTGAGAACTGTGGTTCTCGCTCATCCTTTCGGCCTCCCCAGCCTCAGCCTGCCCTGCCCCTTTCAGGCGGAGGTCCTCCCTGACCCTCTGAGTCTTCTCAGACCCCAGGAAGGTTTTTTGGTTTTTTTCCTTCTGGACTTTTGCTTCTAATACAGTGACTGCCTCTGTGTGTGTGTGTGTGTGTCTGTCCCACTGTTGTGAATCTATATAAGCTTATCTCTTTGTTTCCCTCCTTTCCCCACCCCGTTGCCATGGAGGTCCCCAAAGGGCAGGCCAGTTCCCAGAAACCCCATGTCAAAGGGTGAACCACAAGGGGNCTGTCTGTCTGTCCCACTGTTGTGAATCTATATAAGCTTATCTCTTTGTTTCCCTCCTTTCCCCACCCCGTTGCCATGGAGGTCCCCAAAGGGCAGGCCAGTTCCCAGAAACCCCATGTCAAAGGGTGAACCACAAGGGGTTAAATGATGCCACAGGCAGACACTGTGGCACCCACATCTGCAGCAGTCCCTTTCCTCTTCCCCTTCCCCTTCCCGTGGGTATTTCTGTCCCGTTAAGGCCATCAAAGCTTCGGATGTCTGAGGACCGCAGCCTGCCCCTCCCCCTGCAGGATTCTGTTGGCTGCTGATCCAGCAGCCGGGTCCCTTTTCCCGCTCCCCAGCCCCAGCGCCCTACCTGGTGAGCGTCCCAGCCCTTCCGCAGATGACACTTTCCCTGCTAGCGATTCCAAACGCAGGTATGTTCGAGGCCAAGACCATCGGAAATGGGGTGACTGCTCCTGGCCAGGCCCCGGCCCATGATGGTCTCCCTAGGCTCTCCCCAGGAGTCTGGGCCACTTTCTCTCCTGAGTGTAGGGCACACAGACATGTCCCTGCCCCACTGTGAGGTTGTCGTCACCTGGACCCTCCAGATCAGAGTGATGCTCCCGCAGTTCCCACCGAGCTCTGCTTCCTCTCCCAAACTGGGGACCACATCCTGGTCATATCTTTACCTGTATCTGGGACCTAAGTCTCCTTGTCCCCTTTGGGTCCCCAGCCCTCTGCTGGGGAGCAGCCTCAGGATGGTCCTACCCAGGGCCCAGCTGCCCCCATCCCTGTCCAGGAGGAAAGTCGTGGAACCCAGAACCAGAGGGGACCAGGACTGGCCAGTGAACCTCCCAGAGCCTCAGTTTCCACGTCTGCAGAATGGAGCTGATTTATAGACATGAGAAAGCCCCGGAGCCCCAGGCCACGGCCACCTGAGCCCAGCAGCTGTCTCCTCCCCCACACAGCTCTACAACGAGGAGATTCTGGACCTGTTCGATGGCACCCGCGACCCCGACGCCCGCCACCGCAGGTCCAACATCAAGATCCACGAGGATGCCAACGGCGGCATCTACACCACAGGCGTCACCACCCGCCTCATCAACTCCCAGGAGGAGGTGAGCGGGCACTGGGTGTCAGGGCGGGCAGGGGTGGCACCACGGCTGGCCAGGGACTCACCTCCGCCTCCCTCGCCAGCTGATCCAGTGCCTGAGGCAGGGCGCCCTGTCCCGCACCACGGCCAGCACCCAGATGAACGTGCAGAGCTCCCGTTCCCATGCCATCTTCACCATCCACCTGTGCCAGATGCGCGTCTGCGCCCAGCCTGACCCGGTGAGGAGCCGGGGGCCCAGTGGAGGGCGGCTCCTGAGGGTGGAGGGGGAAGGAGCCAGGTACCTGGAGCAGCAGGTGCGCCGGGCCCGAGTCAGCAGCCGCCTCCTGCCGCAGGTGAATGAGGCCGTGCCTGGGCTTCCTGAGAGCGCAGCGCCCACGAGGGAGTATGAGACGCTCACGGCCAAGTTTCACTTCGTGGACCTGGCCGGCTCGGAGCGGCTGAAGCGGACGGGGGCTACGGGCGAGCGGGCCAAGGAGGGCATCTCCATCAACTGTGGCCTGGTAGGCACATGGGAGGAGGTGCGGGTGGCTCGGGGCTGTGCTGTCCCTCCCCGAGTCCCTCTCCAGTGCCGGGGTCTCTCTTCACAGTTGGCCTTGGGCAACGTGATCAGCGCCTTGGGGGACCAGAGCAAGAAGGTTGTCCACGTGCCCTACAGGGACTCCAAGCTCACCCGGCTCCTCCAGGACTCGCTAGGAGGCAACAGGTACCTGGCCAGCACCCAGAGGGGTGGGAGGTGGGGCTTCCTGCGGAACAAGATGTGAGGTGTGAGTGTAAGGGCCCCGGGGGCAAGGAGACCTCCCGCTCTGGGCTGTGTTGCAGAACACAGGTGCTTTGACCTTTAGCCAGTATGGTGGGACTCAGTTTCCTCATCTGCACCACAGGGGGGGATGGTCCCTAAAGAAAGTGACAGAGCCCAGATGGGGTAATAGATGGGAAGTGGTGAGGAGATGCAGGGCCATCTCTCTGGCATTGACACATCAAAGCCTCCCCATCATTGACAGCAACCTGCTCTGTCGATGGTCCTGGTCCCCACGTCCCAGGTTCTGCCCTGTGAAGTCCAGGTCCCCAGGCAGTGGGGAGGGGTGGAGCAGGAGCTCTGCTCTGAGGCCATGCTTCTGGGGAGCTGGCTGGGCCCCCCGACACTCACTTCACCCTGCTGGCACCCCAGCCAGACCATCATGATCGCTTGCGTGAGCCCCTCAGACCGGGACTTCATGGAGACACTCAACACACTCAAATACGCCAACCGAGCCCGAAACATCAAAAACAAGGTGGTGGTGAACCAGGATAAGACCAGCCAGCAGATCAGCGCGCTGCGGGCCGAGATCGCGCGTCTGCAGATGGAGCTCATGGAGTACAAGGCGGTGAGCTCGCACCCAGCATGCAACCTGCGTGGCCCGGGCCTGGTGACAGGATAGATGCTCTGGTCAGAGTTTTCATGTCCGTTGTGTTGACCAGAGGAGATTCCTAGACTGTGGCACGGAATCAGAATAGTGGATGGGACCACAGGAATAGTCCAGGGTGCTGGGTGGGGTTAGGGGAGCTGGAGGAGAGAGTTGGCCCTACTTCCTCAGGTGGTCAGGGAGGACTTCATGGAGGAGGAGTCTTTTTACCTGGAATTTGAAGAATGAATATCGGCAAAGGCAAGTGGAGCAGACATTGTAGGATGTGAACATTCCATGCATAGGCCATAGGGATGGAAAAAATGGGTGCCTTGGGGGGTGCCCGATTCCATGTGACTAAGGCAGAAGTCCGTGGCCTGGATCTAGCACACACGTGGGTTTTGGTTTGACTTGCCCTTGGTTTTAAAAGAATGTGACTTAGTCATATTTTTTTTTTGGAAGGGGTAGTTTCCATTTTGCTTTAAACATTTGAAGATGTTGCAACACAGGGCACTAAGTTGACTAGAGAGACATAGCAGCTGCCCCTTTAATACTGAGTCTGGGACTCTGTTTGCTCCAATCCCCACCACTCCCTGTTGTCTAACACCCAGACTGACTTATTCATTTCTGCCGACTGCCCGGGTCCCCTAGGGTTAGAGTCTGTGCAGACAGGAAGGTGAACTGTGGAGAGGAAGGTCGAGGTAACACTGTGGGAAGCCTGCGATGGCTGGTCACAGACTTAGGACTTTTCTGTTGTCAGGGGAGTTGTGTAGGGTTTCTGAGGTTGGGAGACAGGAGCCGTGTTCTAGGAGCCCTGGGGCAGGGGCTGGAGCACTGTCCCCCCTCCTCCCTGGGAGCCCTCGCACCTAACTGCTCCCCACCCGCCCCTCTTCCCAGGGCAAGCGAGTGATCGGGGAAGACGGCAGCGAGGGCTACAGCGACCTGTTCCGTGAGAACGCCATGCTGCAGAAGGAGAACGGAGCCCTGCGCCTGCGGGTGAAGGCCATGCAGGAGGCCATCGACGCCATCAACAGCCGGGTCACCCAGCTCATGAGCCAGGAGGCCAGCTTGCTGCTGGCCAAGGCCGGTGAGTCGGGCCCGCAGGCCGGCGCAGGGCCCCAGCGGGCTAGGCCTCCCTCTGCACCCCCAGCCAGGATGTGCCAGCGGATCAGCTCACAGATCGATTCACTCATGTGTTTTTTTCCAATTAATTTTAACTTTTTTTAACGACAAGTGTATATAAAGTGGAAAGCTAGACCTCTCTCCCTGGACTCCACCCGCCTCCGTCTCCATTTTTTTGCGCCGCTGTGAGCAGCTCGGCGCACGTCTTCCTGGGAACATTTCCTCCCAGGACCGATGTACATCCCCACATATTCACGTGTGTGCTGGGAATATATACTTTTCCCTTTTCTGTAGGTGTGATCACATGTCCTATGACTTCCCCTTTCCACCCAGCATCATACTTTAGAGACCTTTCCGTGATAAAAGCTATAAACTGCCTAATTCTTTTAAGCTGCCACGTTCCATCTGTGGTGGTGATGGGTCAGGTAGGGTGACAGCCTTCTACCGAGAGACATTTGGTGTGTCCGGTGCCTCACCGTTACCCACAGTGCTTGGACATACCTGTGCCCCGGACGAGTCTCTCTCTGGCGCAGATTCCTCTTTGGAAAAGGCCCTGTGGATGACCCTGTGGGAGGCCCAAATGCAAGGCCACGAGTTAGAGCTGAAGGCGCTTTTGTTACTTGTCCCCCCCAGGTGACGGCAATGAGGCCATCGGCGCTCTGATCCAGAGCTACATCCGGGAGATCGAGGAGCTGCGGTGAGTGAGCCTTGCACACCTGAGACCTCGGGGTGGGGGGGGTCACCTTGGCCAGGCCAGGTGAGGGGGACCTGGCTAAGCCAGCCCACCCACTCCCTCCCCGCAGGACAAAGCTCCTAGAGAGCGAGGCCATGAACGAGTCCCTGCGTCGCAGCCTCTCTCGGGCCTCGGCCCGGGGCCCCTACTCCCTGGGTGCTTCTCCGGCTGCCCCGGGCTTCGGGGGCAGCCCAGCCAGCTCCATGGAGGACGCCTCCGAGGTGATCCGCAGGGCCAAGCAGGACCTGGAGCGGCTCAAGGAGAGGGAGGTCAGGCAGCGGAGAAAGAGGTGGGTGAGCAGTCACCTGCCCCAGCCAGAGGGTCTCTCCAGAGGGCCCCAGGGGGAGGGGTCCAGGGTTACTTGGGGACTCACTGAGCTGACTGGCACAGCCTCTTGGGCAGAGGCCACCTATTGGAGGAGGGAAGTGGACAGTCCCAGGATAGCCGGGGGTGGGGGCGGGCGCAGGGGCTGGAGAAGAGCTGCCAGGCTCTGCAGAGCGGGGACCCGTCCCATCCTGTGACCTCTGGGCAAGACATGCCTCTCCCCGCCCAGCCCGCCAGCCCGACCCCTATCCTGGGCATGTGCTCAGGCAGGTTCGGTCCCCTCACCCGGCCCACACTTCTCTCCTGCGCAGCCCAGAGAAGGAGGCCTTCAAAAAGAGGGCGAAGCTCCAGCAGGGGAACAGCGAGGAGACCGATGAGAATGAAGACAACGAGGGAGAGGAGGTGAGCCCCCCGCCCTCTCTCCCCTCCTCACACCCTCCCCTCCTCACATGCACCCCCGTTCCGACAGGTAGGACCCCATCTTCTGTGCGCAGAGAGGAGGGGCTTGGTTGCCTCCTAATGTCTCTGCCTGGTTACCATGGTGATCTCCATCCCTCAAGCCCCCACCTCATCCCAGTGCGGGTGGGGGGGTTTCCAGGGAGCTCTGCTAAGGCTGCTGGGGGGACGTGGGAAGTTCTCTTCCAGAACCGGGGTGGGCACAAGGGGCCCCAACTGTGACCACCCCATTTCCCACCCTTCTGACACACCTGCCGGGATGTCTGGACCAGCCTCTGCTTTGGGCGCCCCTTCCCGGAGGTGGGTCCAGCTCCTGTGAGGAGGGACCACCAGCCCCCCCTAATGGTGCTTGGTGCCCAGGAGGAGGAAGACCCAGAGGAGAGTGGCTGTGAGGAGGAAGACTCGGGCAGCGAGGAGAGCCTGGTGGACTCAGACTCGGACCCCGAGGGGAAGGGTGCGTGTGCCTGGGTTGGGAGCACAGCAGGGACCAGCACGCCAGGACCTCTCACCTACGCTTGCATTTCGGGGGCTGCTCTTTAAATGTGTTTTCTCATCCGGCAGCACCTGCCCACTGTGGGATTTGTCCTTTCCTCCAACCTCTGGTGGCTGGCCAGAGGAAAGCCCCCAGCCCCCTGCCCGCTCCTTGCCCCGGCGCCCTGGGTCAGGCCGGTCTCTGCCCCGCAGAGGTGAACTTCCAGGCCGATCTGGCCGACCTGACCTGCGAGATCGAGATCAAGCAGAAGCTGATCGACGAGCTGGAGAACAGCCAGCGGCGGCTGCAGACGCTCAAGCACCAGTACGAGGAGAAGCTGATTCTGCTGCAGAACAAGATCCGCGACACGCAGCTGGAGCGCGACCGGGTGCTGCAGAACCTCAGTGAGGCCCCGCCCACCGCGAGAGACCCCGCCCACAGCCCCGCCCACCGGCTTCCAGGCCCCGCCCAT